CCTCTGTCTCTCCCTCCTCAGTTCCAGCCGCCCGACTGGCCCGACGCGCCGTAGGGCGTCGCGTTGTTGTACGGCGTCGTCGCCGAGCCGCCGCCCCACGCCGTCTGGTTGCCGCCGTTGTAGGGCGTCGTGTAGCCCTGGTCGTTCCAGCCCTGCCCGTCCATGTTCATGTCCGGGCTCCGCGGGCCGTCAAAGTCGCCGCCGTCCATGCCGCCGCCCTCGGCCTCGCCCGTCAGCGTGTGCAGCATGAGGGCCAGCTTCTCCTGCATGATCTTGATGCCCTCCTGGATGATCTGGTCCGGGTCGAGACTGCCGACCGTCTCGACGTCAAAGTAGAAGCGGCCGGGCTTGGCGTCAAAGTCAAACGGCTCGCCCTCTTGGGGCGGGTCCTCCTGGTCGGCGTTTCTGCTCTTGGGCCTGGAGGGGGAGAGCGGTCAGCATGTGAGCGCCTGGTAATCTCTTCGGGGAAGTGGAAAAGGGGAGGGGGGGGAGGGAGTCTCACCATTCTGTCGCAGCGTCCGTCTCGTACCACAGGTCAATGTGGTGCAGCTTGTTGTGGGGGTCGTACTCGAAGCCGACGGCAGACGTGGGCATCCATTTCGCGTGCTCCTTGGCGATGCCCTTTTTCGCGATGCACGTCACCTTGAGCTCCTGGCCCCTTCGCAGCTTGGCGATGAGCGAGCCGAGGCCATCGGGGTCGGTGATGACGGGGTTGCCGACCGTGTTGTTCTGGCGGAAGCTGTCGACGACGAGGTCGCTGGCGTAGACCTTCATGATATCGTCCGACGTGCAGCGGGCGTGCAGGGTCAGCTTGACGCTGCAGTTGTCGCAGTACTGCTCGCAGTCACAGTCACGCGAGTAGTGCAGGCTCGCGGCCTCCTTGGAGTGCAGGGGGATGAGGCCGAGTCGGTGTGCGATGAACTCGTCGGCGAGGACGGATGTGTTGGCCTCAATCTCGACGAGATCAATGGCGACAATGGGGACTTCGGCTTGGATGACGCGACGGAGCGAGTTGGCGAACGAGAGGTGGCAGTTGGACAGGTTGAAAACGACGCGGTCGGCCTCGGTCTGGTGCGCAACTGAATCAGTACGAGAGCAGCAATGCAGCGCGCGGACAGGGCTGCCGAGGGAAACCTACGTTGGAGATCTTGACAGAGGGACCGCCGACCTCGTTGTCAAGCAGCATGGGTTCGTAGTCCATCTTTGCCTGCTCCTGCCGGTCGCGCGTGAATGAGTGACGGTGTCTGCCGGAGGCGAGATCGCGAGGCTGAAGAGGTGGAGAGGGAACGTCAGCAATTCGATGAGTTTTGCATTCGGGTGAAGCGCCGTCCTCGCCTGTCGCCTTTGTCGATTGTTGCGGGACGGTTGTGGTGTTGAGGTTGGACCTCGACGAGGGACCATTATTTTCGTGATTAGATAAGCTGCTGCTGGGCAGCTGCTTTCACTCCATGCACCTTGTTTGGTAGGTATATTGCCTGAACAAACCACCTCCCCGACACGCTTTCGACTCCCATGCCCATCAACATCAGTCTTGCTACAGCCCATCATGAAGCCATTCGACGCAGCTCGCTCTTTCATCAATTCGATCTGGTTCTCTGAGGCGACGCATTCAAACGGCGGATGACCCCGTTTCCCAACATCGTTCGGTTTACAAGCTCAGACAGTCGCCGTCGATCTGGACCCTCTGTGCACTCCTCTATCGCGGTTTCTCTCTTCTCGGATCCTGGATCGACACATTTGGAAAGACAGTGTCCTTTTCAAGCAGCGACTTCATCGCGATTCTTATTTTCATCTTCTTCTGACACAGCCCGCTGTCTTTTCAGGCACGGTGCTGAGCCTGTTGGGCCATTTCACCAACTCTGCGTGTATAGTCCTTAGTCGTGGCTCGATCGCTGCGTCGAAATCCCGACGACCATGTTCACCTCGTACCTCAGACAGCCTAAGCCTGAGGTCCAGTTGAATGGTCTTGAGGTCTATGGTATTTGTTAGGGTTGTGCAGCAAGACGTCTCGTGGAGGGTTGTCTGACCTCTCAGGGCCTCTTCGTCCGTTTCCATGCATACCTTGTCCGTCTCGATCAAAGATTGAACTTGAGCGGCAATCTCGACACAGACTCCCGCTGAACCCGTCGTTGGTGTTTTGCTCCACACCTTCAGTTTCTTCTTGTGAGGTCCGAATATTTCAAGCATTTCGCGCACCGAGTCGCCCATGTTCTTGAGCATTTCGGACGCGGCGTCATTGTCGGATACTTGCGAACCCTGTGATAAGCGTGATCGATTTGACTCGCAGGATGGGGGTCGTCGTTCAAGCCGGTGTGAATCCTCATCGGGAACGAGGTTGTGAGTATTGCTTTGTGCCCTGCCATCCCTCGAGCCTGAAGCCTCCCCCTTCGAGGAACATCTTTTCCAAGCTTTGGAAATGAGGGCCGTCCGCCCTCGCTTTTCGCTCTGGGTGCCCCCCGACCGCCATTTCTCAGACCCTTCACGTCCACGTGAGGACCGGGTCATGCTGGCAGAGGGATTGTGGCAGCAACAGGCGAAGGAAAGCGTGTCGATAGCAGGTTGGGCGAGCGCCAAAAGTCGGGAAAGAATCTGGAGAACGCGAAAGGTTTGGTTTCTGCCCGCAGGCTGCAGCGAACGACGAACATGATTAACTCTTTACTACACAATTAACCCCCCTCCGCGAGGCTCTCTCTCATGCCGGTACCACTCCAACGGCCAGCCTTATCTGACAAGCCGCCCAGAAGGAGGTGGGCAGGCAACGAGCTAGATCCGCAATGAATGGGTACACAAACGGTCTCGTCAGCTGAGCCGCCCATCTTGCGCCAACCAGCAGCGAACAAGTCTGATGCATGGATGTATTTCCATTCGACGACTCCTCCCTAAAGGTTGCATGCTGCAATGCAGCCGTTTCGGAACACTGCCACAACGCAAATCGTTAAGACTGCCTCATCCCACCGGACACGAAAACACCCTGCACATCCGAAGCCTCTCCCCCGCACAGCCTGGCACGATGACGGATCCGGAGAGTCTGAAGAGATACGTCGACAGTTCACTCCGTGAAGAAGAGGACTTTCATTTCCTCCGATTCGAATATCTCCAACGCCTCAACTTGACCAACTTCTACATCACGCTCGCCCACCAGAAGAGCAGGCTGAAGAAAGAAGGGTTGCGCTCCGAGGAAGACGGCGCGAAACTCCAAAAGCTCCTCCGGGACTATGGTGCGCTCTGCTCTGACGTCCCCCAGACACTCTTCTTCTGACGGCGCGAACAAGAAAATGCTGACGAATGGGTGAATACGCAGCAACTGCGATCCGTGACTACCGCTACCTCCACTCGAGCAAGGCCGTGCCCGTGACCAAGAGCGGCGAGCGAAAGGCCCTACTCGAGGCCTCCTTGCGGTTCGAGGACGGGTTTCCCCACTCTTTCGCCAGCCATTACCACTTCTTCGAGGACGAGACGGCACAGATCGACCCCCTGCGCCGGTCTCTCATGGCCTCTCTGCCCAAGGTCCTGACCTTCTCGAGTGAGGAAAAGGGCCGGCGCGCACGGGAGTATCATGACGGGGACCCTCCGCATCAGGTCTCGACGTTCGTCGACCGTCTGGCCCGGTTCCTCATCGCGCTGACGGGCGGCGGCTTCCTCATCGGACCCATGATCATCATGGCGCTGGGACCCTCAATGGCCAAGAGTCTCATCACCGTGTCCGTTGCGCTGGTGCTGTTCTCGCTGGTCCTCTCCTTTGGTATTCGGGTTTCCAACATCGAGACGCTCGTCGCGACGGCGACGTACGCTGCCGTCCTGGTGGTCTTCGTCGGCACGAGCTCCGCAGATGGCGGCAGCTGAGTCTATGTTAGGGGTATGGATTTGATAGTCTGTTTCTTACGTATCAATGACAACTTGAAATCTCTACAGATTGACTGTTCATCCTGTTACTTCGTCCTTGACTAGGCCCAGCAACACACTTTTCACTAAACATCAGATCACATATTTGCGGAACACTTTTGATTGAACATTATTGATATTAGTTTGCCGCAACGCCATGCCGCCAAGTATACTAATCTACGAAAAAGGTTTGTACACATTGAATGTAGAAAAGAAAGGGAAAAATATTTTAAGCACCGCCAACAGTCTGGCCCAGGTTCAGGGTGACGGGCGATCCGTTGAGAGTGACCCACTGGATGGGCGGCTCGCTGCCGACCTGGTCGGCCTTGACGGCGCCGGAGCTGGTAACGGTGCCGGCAGGGATGGTGACGGGCACGGGCACGCGGCACGAGTTGCCCTTGGCCGAGACGGTGACGGACGAGATGGTCGTGCCGTTGCTGTAGCTGTACGAGAGCTTGGGCTCGCACTGATCGAGGGCCATCCTGTCGGAGAAGCTCTTGCCGATGTCGTCGTGCTTCAGCGACGTGATGGGCCAGTTGGTCAGACGGCCCATCTCCTGTGTGATCGTCTCGACCCAGGACATGATCAGCGACATCTTGCCCGTCTGCGAGCCGACCGTGATGGACGGCATGTCGATCTGGCGCATGTTGGCCTGGTGGAACATGTAAGGGTCCGCGTGCAGACCGAGAAGGTGACGGGTGTTCTCAGCACGTGCGTTATCGAGCAGGCTATTAAAGTCGCCCTTGCCAGCCGACGTCTCGATCCACTCGCGGGTCGTGCACTCTGCCGTGTCACAGTTGAAGTAGATGGTCGTCGCGTACCGCGGGATAATAAGAAGACCGTCGTAGCCATTATCGGCCACGTTGGAGATGAGAGGCCAGTACTCATTCTTGGCACGGAGAGGAGGGCGGGTGTTGTCGCCGACAACGTTGGTGATACCGTTGGTCATCCAGGCGCGAATAGCATCACCGTTATGCATACCCGTAATCGCGGGAGGGACCAGGCCCTTGGGCGAGAACTTGGTCGCCTTATCGATACCCATCTGCGTCATCCAAGCCTGGTTGAACTGAATCTCGCGCTCAGTATCCTTATAGGTAGCGTTATTGAGGCCCATGTGGGTGAAGGTATGGGACAGGTGGGCGAAGGCGTTGAGGTTGGACGAGTCAAGGAACCAGCTAGCAAACTCGTCACGCTGAGCGCAGGTCTTGGACCATCCGTACTCGGTGAACTCGGTGCCCCAGATATCCTGACCAGTGCCCAAGGGCTTCTGGAATTCCAGAGGAGTGTCAATCTGCTCGGGGTAGTCAACGGCGTAGTTGGGGTTGCAAACGCCGTCCTGTGGCCTGTTGTCCGCAGTGGCCGAGATGATATCGCCGTTGCCGTTGTGCGCAAGCTCGAGCCAAAACTCAGAACCAGCAGCCAGGCGGCTGTTGATATCACGCTGCCAGGCGATGTGGGCGTCCAGGTCTCCTGTGCGGATCTTGAAGACAGTGCCGGCAGGGTAGTAGAGATCGGTCTCGAGCTGCAAGTCATCGACCTGCGCAGAGAGATGGACCTTGCGCTTGCCGAGGAACAGGCCACGCGTCATCCAGTGAATGTGAGAGTGCTGGAGGTAGTTGGACGTAGCAGACCACTCGGGAGCCCAGCTGGTGAACCAGACGAATTGCTCACGGCCATCAAAGTTGTTGATGACGGCAGCAGCGCCCTCAACGACGCCAGGACCGCCAGCAAACTTGGCAACCTGCTTGGTGGTCTTGGTGTCGGTGATGGTGGCAGGGTAGTGGTACAACCCCTGGCTGCTGACGCCGGCGTTGACCTTCAGGTTGGCAGTGGGGAAGTCAGAGACGTCAGTGAAGCTGATGAGCTGCTCGACGCCGACACCACAGCAGCCCTCGCCGGCTGCGGCACCGAAGAGGGGGCCGGGATACTCGTTGATGCGGACCATGCGGACGCCAAAGGCGAGCTGGTACTTGTGAATAGCATCCCACTGCTCAGTGGTCACAGCAGAGCGCCATCCGTCCGTGTACTCGTACGCAATGGCATCGACAATTATGATGGCACCAAAGTTGCCCTTGGAGCCGGAGAACAGCTCGGGCAGAGGAGCACCGGCCTGGGGAATGGCCAGGCCCTGGAAGGGGATACCATAGCCCTTGAGGCCGGCGCTACCGGCGGCGATGCCGGTATCGTCACGGGCCAGGATGAGAACGGTGCTGTCACAGCTAGAGGCGCTGGGCAGAGCAGTGCCAGCGGTGCCACTCGAGGTGGTGGTGCCGGTGCCGGTGCTGGTGGCGGTGGCAGCGGCCGTGGTGGTGACGACGGTCGCAGGGACCGAAGTGGAAGTGGTAGTGCGGACGCCGATAGGGGATGTGGTCGTGGTGACGGCAGGGACCACGGGTCTCGTGGATGTGGTCGTGGCAGCAGCAGGCCTCGAAGTCGTGGTGGTCGTAGTGGGCTTGCAGATCTTGAAGATCTTGCAGTTGACGGTATCAATGATGTTAGTGATAACGACGCTGATCTGCCTCGACTCGAGCTCGTTGCCACAGTCGCCGGTGACGAGGCAGTGAGGCGCTGGTGCCGGAGAGGTAGCCGCCAGGCCCACCAAGGCCGCGAGGACAAAGCTGGAGCGCATGGTGTTTTTTGAGGGGCTCTTGATCCTCGAAGGATCGAAAGGCTCAAGCTTCAAGCGAGTAAGTGAACGAATAGACTTGAAACAGTCAACGAAAGTAAAGGAAGACTTGAAGAAGTCAACCAGGAAACGAATGATACCGCAAGAGGCCGATGAGAGACAAGGGAGCAGAAGGCCGGGATAGCAGACAAGATGATGAGACTTATATACCAAACCACGGCCAGCTGTCGATCGAGTCTGGGGAAGCCCAACAAGGCACAGCAGGTCTGTTTCCCAGGTCCGGCTGACTTCAGAAACAACGGACAAAGAAAGGAGCGTGCGTCCACGTTGCCGTGGTCCGCGATGGCCCACGCTGGACCCCCTTCGTGGATGAGATTTTGGGGGTCTAAACATAGGGTGGTGTGCCGAGCTAGAGACGGCTTGATGTTGTACCCGGTATGCAGGTACAGGCCAAGGCTCGGGCCCAGGAGCTGCTCAGGCGGCAAAATTCTACGAAGGCGGGCCATGGTGGGTGGGCATGGGGATGCCAGGGATTCCGGGTGACGACTTGCAGGCCGGTGGTGCGAGGTTTCCCTTCGCTAGGGGATCCTTTTCCCTCGAGCTCGCCACGATAGACGTGATGTTAGCGTCCAAGCTATACCGATCTGGACGCACATGGGCACCGGTGCTGCCCACACAGACCCCCCCCCCCCCTGAATTCCATACAGGCGAGAGGCGCCACGACGGACGACGCTGGTGCTTGGCAGGCCTTGGCAGCGGTCGCGATTCCTGGGTCCAGGGTTTCCAGCCAAGCCCAAGTCGAGTGCAGTCAGGAACAAATATCGAGACGGCTTGCGGTGGCCCTACGTTGGCGCGGAAAGGTGGGATCAGATGAGCACATCAATGCCATTCCTGGCCAAGTGCCGTCTGATGCGTCGATGCGGTCGATGCGGTCGGACCCAAGGGGAGGGGCCAGGGCTCAGCGATTACCAGAAACGGCGAGTCTCACGCAAAGGGTAGCCCTGGGGTGGGTAGAACCGTCGTTTGGTCTAGCGGCCGGATCGCCACGCTGAGAGATCCATCCATTGTTGCGATGTTTCTGTCAGGGACCCAGTCGACCGGGGCTTTGTCTGGCCATCAAGTGCCATGTTGTTTTGGAAGTTCGCAGCGGGTTTGACTCCCATGTGGATTGAAGCTCCCATACGATTTTGGGGGGAAAGCGTTGGTCAGACAGACGGGCGAGACCCTCGTGGCGTGTCGTTCCAGTGCCACAAGCTTTGATCCCCAGTCTGGCCATCACCAGTCTGCCCATCATCAGTCAGTCAGTCAGTCAGAAGACTTCAGACGAAAGAGGCGCAGACAGACAAGAGAGGGATCGAGCACCGGGGATGACCCTGTCGATGGGCTGAGATGGCGAACGAGAAGAAAAAAAAAATCCGAATTCCTGGGGGGTCCGTTCAGCGTCGAGGTGGGTTGTGTGGTGACGATGCGTGCGTCTGATGTTGTTTGGCCTCTGGTTGTTCATTCGCCATTGAAGAGGAAGCAGCTCCAAGCGTCAGGCAGGCGGAGCCCGCAGCCTGAAACAAAATTGGCGATTGGTGGGTGGGTGGTGGGTGGTTCGCTTCTGATGCAGGTCGATCGGGTTTTTCTCCGATGGTCCCTCCTCCTGAGTCAGCAGAGGCGTCTGCTTGGACGTTTGGACGTTGGGCGTTGGGCGCTGGGCGTTGGGCGTTGGACGTTGGAACGTTGGGGTGAAGAAGGTGCCGTCGAAGCCACTGAAGCCGCTGTGGTTCCTCCACCGTTTACCACCTTCAGCGGACGCCAGGTACTGAAAAGAAGCAAATACGAGTCAACCCACCTTCTCCCCCCCTCCTGGCCCCTGGCTCCTGATCGAATACCTCCTTAGATCCTAGCCTGCATGGTGTGCCTTGCATCTACTGTGAGGTACCAACCTACTTTAAAGCTACCGTGCAAATCTGCGTGCCATGGTGCGTGGGCCGGGACGATCACACCGGGCGGCCTCGAAGGTTTGTTTGGGTGCATGCCGGGTGCTTGGTGAGCTTGTTGAGCTGTGTTGGCGAGCCGCTTGGTGGTGCGCGCAGCTTTTGGCGGTGGCTTCTTGGCAGTTTGGTGTTCTTGGCTCAGCGGAAACCGGTGAGCCTATGAGTGAGTAGATGCACACGCAAAGACACAGCATCGCTTCCTCGAGGGAGACTAAATTGGAAAGGGGGCCAAAAGAAAGGAGGCCCCGGCGGCAGCTCCCCAAGCTACCGTACCTTAGCCTTATGTGCCTTAGCGACCTACTGTGCCTTACTGTAGGACCTGAGGGGTGGGCCCCCCGAACCTCGTCCCCTATGCCGGCATCCGACCGCCCGATTCCGTGCTCCGCTTGGTCTCTGGTGTACATATACTACTACATGGTAGCTCATGCTATGCTTTTCCTTGGTGTATAAATTATTGGCAGCGCAACTTCATTTCGCCTTCTTGGCAATTCTTGGCCCTGCAATGCTTCGCTGTCAAGTTGTCTTCACTTCCTTTTCGGCCGTGAAATGGTTGTTCAGCACCGCCTACCGCCCGCCAAAGCTGTTGGACGCCTTCCTCTTGGCTTCTCGTGCGAACATGTTCTGTGGTACAAACAAGTGGCCCTTGCCATTCGAGCCGTGTTCCCCACAAGATGTCGCAGGCCCAGCTCAGCTGCACGGTGATCATTGACATTGGAGAAGGAAAGCAAAGACATGCCAGTGAAGCGAATCAAGACGTCATCTACCCATGATTTGTCACATTTGAGCTCACGGCCCGGGCAGTTGAAGAAGCCCTCGTGTAAGACTGGCCGTCCGGGACTCTCTCGACACATATTATCCACCCTTTGTCATTGGCCATTCGTCCTCCGGCTGCCATTGGTCACAAATGCTATGTATGGCCAGAAGCCCAGCACGGCCCGCGTCGGCTTCTTCTTCAACGCTGCTGTCCGACTCGGCACAAGGCTAGCAGCCGGCATCAGTCGGCAGCCAGCGGCCAGCGGCCAGCTGCACCAGCTGGCGGCCGGCAAAGACAGCAGACAGCAGCTAGCAGCACCAGCAGAGCTTGGCTCTGACCCTGCGCCTTCTCCCGTCAGCCGGTGACATCTGGACCCGATAAAATTTCAATTCCGCCTTCGCAACACCACGCATCATCACCAACCCCAACCTCACGCGACCACGAACACGACATTGTCATCTCTAACTTCCTTCCCCTAATATCACCATCCCCTTCCACATTCACCATGCTCCGCAAGGTCATCACCTCTGGCGCCCGCGCCACCCGCTCGGCCGCTCGTGCCCCCGCCGCGTCCCAGGCTCTCCTCCGCCCCCAGTTCCAGCAGACCCAGACCTTCGCCCCAGCCTTCAGGTTACGCGCCGCCCAGCCCGCCGTGTTGCGATGGTACAGCTCCGAGCCCGACTCCAAGGATGATGCCAGGGCCAAGGAGGGTGATGCCGCTGCCCCCGAGAGCGCCAACCCCGAGCTCGACGCCCTGAAGAAGCAGCTCGAGGCCAAGGAGAAGGAGGCCCTCGACTGGAAGGTGAGCATCATATTCAAAGCATACCTGGCCCCTCCCATGACAGCATGACGTCTAACAAACATCTCCACCCTTCCAGGACAAGTGCCTTCGCTCGGTCGCCGACTTCCGCAACCTCCAGGACCGCACCTCCCGCGAGATGAAGTCGGCCCGCGACTTTGCCATCCAAAAGTTCGCCAAGGACCTCATCGACTCGATCGACAACCTCGACCGCGCCCTCGGCATGGTGCCCGAGTCCAAGCTGTCGCCCGCCGCCGACGCCTCCGAGGCCGCCAAGGACCTCGCCAACCTGCACGAGGGCCTGCGCATGACCGAGACGGTCCTCATGAACACGCTCGAGAAGCACGGCCTCGAGCGCTTCAGCCCCGAGGGCGACAAGTTCAACCCCAACGAGCACGAGGCCACCTTCATGACGCCCCAGCCCGGCAAGGAGGACAACACCGTCTTCCACGTCCAGTCCAAGGGGTTCAAGCTCAACGGCCGCGTGCTGCGCGCTGCCAAGGTCGGCGTTGTCAAGAACAAATAAATGGCCAACCCGTTTGCCGCTTTTGGAGATGCTTGATGCGTCTCTGCTGGCTGCGCGACAGAGAGAGAATCGAATAAGAGAGATGAGGGGCGACGCTGCTTGAGGCGGGTCGCCCGTGTATTACTACTGAAACCAACAACAACTACAACACAACCGACTTTGACATGGAATGCGCCGTCGGGCTTTCCATGTCAATGTGTACAATGCTCCCCTCATGACGGAAGAAGAAAGATCAGTGGAAGACGAAGACGGACGGAAGACGCCATGTTCAATGTCTAGTCAACTGGACAGGCCAGGAAAATGTATCTACATAAACTGCATGTGACATCGCAAATAGGCATGGTCGGCGATGTATCAAGTATAGGACGGTGGAGAGTCGTCACGTCACGTCACTGGCGCGCAGCAAGCCCACGGGCAGTCAAGCGTTATACAAAATAATACTACATACTTGGACAGTCGCATCTGTTTCCCTGCTTGAGGAGTTGCTGTCCGCCATTTTGAAACCGCAAGAGGGTATCATCAGAGTGGTGAAAGGAGACCAAACAGAAAAAAGAGAAGCAGCCAGAAGACAAGCAAAGAAAGGAAAAGTCCAAACGCCTCATGTTGCCCAAATTTCCATCCCCTCCATTCGTCGTCGCGCGCAAGGGCAGCAAAACAAAAAGAAAAGGCATCACTCCTCGGCCTCAGCGTCACGCACCAACCGCTCCCAAACCTCCTCTCCAACCTCGGCCCTCACGGCCTCAATGTCCTTCAGACCAGCCCTCTGGAGCTCCTTGTCGATGCCCTGCTGCGCATCCCGGATATCTCGCTCAAGCCGGTCATGAACGGCCCGCGTCTCCCCGAGCGTCTGGCGCCTCAGCTTGAGCTGGTACTTGACATCCTTCAAATGGCCACTCACCTGCCGCAGGATGCGCCTGTTCTGCCTCGCAAGCCTCGAGCTGGCCGCGGCCTCCCGCGCGGCGAGAATGGCGTCGACGCCAGCGCGCACGCTGCGCAGCTGCACGCGCGAGGACGCGAGCTGGGACATGAAGACGGCGCCGCGCCGCCAAGACAGGACACGACGTGCGGGACAAGAGGGCCGACAATTCACGAGATGGTCCGATAGGACT